TCGCCGAGGGGTACGCCAACGGCGGGTCGTTGCCGCCCTCGAGGTACGTGAGCACGCCCTCGAGTGTGCGGCCGGGGACGCCCCACCACAGGTGGCGCCCCTCGCTGTTCTGCCGGCCGCCGACCACCGGCGCGCCGTTCGTGGACGCCAAGCACTGCTGCTGGCGGCGCTCAAAATACGCCGCCCATGCCACGTGGTTGTCGGCGGCGTACTGGGGGAGGGAGAGTTGCGCGTCGGTGAGGGAGGTGCGCACGACCTCGACTTCCTCGGCGAAGTACTTCGGCTTCGCCGCGGCGTCGGGCAACGGGGGAATGGGCACTCCCCCGGCGCTGAGTCTCCACCCCGTCGGCCTGGCGCGCATGTCCGGCGGCGCCGGGATGTTCGCCTGGAACAGGAGTCAGGACTCCTGTTCGCGGAGCGAACGGCGGCCGAAGCCGTTGGCCGCCGCCTCGTCTCTGGGGAAGCGTTCTGCCATGGCGACGGCGGGGCTGGGCGGGCTCCGGAGAGGTAGAGGGAGGGGCTGGGCGGCGGTGCTCGGGAAAGGTAGGGAGAGGGAGGGGCTGGACGGCAGCAAGGGGCGGGGCTGGTGTGGGCACAGGCGAGTGGAGGCCATCGGCTTTTATAGCCGCGCTGCGCCCGTGTGTACGCATGCGAGGAAGGGGAGGCGTCGGCGCGCCGTCCTGTGACGCGCCGCCCGTGAGAAATCAATGGCAAGGCTGACCGGCGGCAGCCTTGCAATTGATTCCCCGCGGAAACCGAGGCCGTTGGGGGAAGACGAGGCGCCGAGTCGCTGACGCGGCTGGCCCACGGCTTTTTCACGCCAAAACAGCTCGCCCCGGCGCCCCGGGCGCCCGCCAGCGCGCCGGGTTCGGCCTGGGTCCGCCGGCGCTGTTTTCGGTCCAAGCCGGCGAAAATCGGGCTCCTAGGGGCGCGACTGGGCAGTTTTTTCGGCGCCGGCGCGAAAAAATCGCCTGGGAAGGCCTTCCTGGGGCGCGGCTGGAGATGCCCTTAGCACGCAGCGGCTGTCATTCATATCTCCTGATGCGAAATGTCCATTCTGCTCCCATCAAAACTACCGAATAGCCCACCTTTGCTATCGGTAAAATTTCCAATGGCTCATGTTGATCCATGAAATATCCAACGGTCATGGTTGGTCAGGGTTGAGATCGGACAAGACTGATCAAACCAGAAGGTCCAGTGAATGTGATAGCCTATCTAACTATGGGATCCCGGTCTTAGTCACCTTTCAAGTGTGGTACACAACCAATCGCTTTATCCCAGCGCCTAATTGGGATTATACTTACAGATGGTCCATGTACAGCACATTTTTGGTAACTCTGGGTGGCACCCTTGCAATGTCCAGGCTGGCCACTAAATAGTTCCCTAAAATTAACATTTCATTGCACTCGGGTAACTAAAACATCAGCAGTGAAAATCGCGCGTATCATGGATTATTTGGAATATCTATGGAGTATTTAATGGACAGCTTTTCCATAACTAAAGAAACCACCGGTGCAGATTTGCTTTCCTTGGCAGGCCAACTTTGGTGGTGAGTAAACACTTTCCATAGATTGAAATTTTTCATAACTGGCTAACCTACACCCTGCCGGATGCGCTACAACTTTTCGCGCCCTACCTATACCTAGGCACAACGGATACCTATTTCTAAGGCAGCGTGTTCGTGTGCCAAATTATAACATGTCCCTAGCGGCGTAATACTTGAACTGCTATCGAAGTTGGACAACTTTTCGCGCCATTTTTTTATACATGTGTGAAGTAGCCCGGTGCACGTAATTGTGTGATACAATGATGTTGTTCTATGAGATTACGTAAATTCTTAACAGTTTTCCGGCGGCGAGCCCAAGCATTCTTCATTTGTCGGTGGTCTTTCCATAAGTTCGATGTTGACGGTCATAAAATAAATAAATTTCTTTTCGCGCCAGAACTAACTAGCGGTATAACGGATAGCCGAGGACTGCAGTTAAATGACAACCATCACAATTTTACGCCATCAATGATGAAGAGCGCGGAGATCAACGAATCGAAATATGCTTTTCCGATTAGAGAGATCAGTTGTTATTTTTACGAACGAACGTGGTTCTTGTATCACTCATATCCGCCCAACCGCAAATTGCGCAAGTCATTTCATGGCGACCTTTGGTAGATCGCAGTACCAAACAAACAACAATGTGGCCTGAATTTGGTCTTGAGGACGGGCGGATTGGACATTATTAGACGTGATTTTAATCCCTAATCTTTGAGTAATACAAGAATTATTATTTTGCAAAAAGGAAAAAACTTTTGGACCAAATACACCACCCCGCCCTCCCCCTTTTCAAATTCCAGGCACCTGCCTAGTTTTGGCCCTTTCAACCCTAGCCCCGCCCCTTTCCTACCGGTGCTTCCTACACTGTCCGATCCATCATCTACGGCCAGGACAAGGTAAGGGCCGGCGCAGCAGCACCCTTGTCTTTTTGTCCCGCGGATATATGTAGCGCCGACCCCCCGAAGAATTCCGTCACCCACAGACTGCCTCCAGCCTGCACCTCCCTCCCGTCGCATCCCGTCTCGTCTCGTCGTCGTGCTCCTCCGCCCCCCATCCCTCCTCCTCCGCAGTCGGCCGCCGGCTCGCCTCCCAGTCTACCCGTGCAGCCGGCGCGTTGCACGGACGGGCTAGCCGGGTAAACCCGCGTCAGTTTCCCCAGTGCTAACTCCAGCCGGCAGGCGGCGGCGACAGCAACCGGCCGGCCGCGATTCGACCCCGACCCCAAGGTATGGACCGAAACGAATCCTCACCGTGTCTCCTCGCTAATCGTCTTTGCTTCGACGGGAATCGGGAGTGCGACAGAGATTCGTTGGGGCCGAAGGTGCGACGGGCGGCTCGGGGCCGACGACGTGAGTTGCCGAGGATCGGATCTGGGGCGCGGGTATCAATTCGCCGAGGAACGGCCGGCCGTTTTGACCGTCCGTCGTCTGTCCAAGTTTTTCTAGGATTTTGGTTTCCGCTTCGTTTCTCTTCCGGTGCCCGTCGTGATCTGTCTGGCGGAGGCGGCGTTTGTAGCTAGAGTTTCCGTCGTTGTTTTTCTTTCCGTGAGTTGGATCTATGCAGCGGGAAGTCGATTCAGTTCTTGTCTGGAGACGTTGGCTCCAACCTGATTCATGGCGTCGGTGTCGTCGTCGAGTATAAGCTGGGTGTCAGGCCTAGCAGAGAAACTGTTCCGTGAGTTGGATCTGAACTCGATTCAATTCTTGTCTGCCCTTTTTCTTTTCTTTTTGAGGGGTAATTCTTGTCTGCCTGAAGTTTTTTTTTTTTGAGACAATCTTGTCTGCCTGAAGTGGCTGCATGAAGTCGATTTTTGTTTGCAACTGCTGTCTCGCTCCGGTCCTGACGGCGTCCGGTCCTGAATTCAGGCATACTGCAGAAAATCTAAGTACGAAGAGAATAAAAAAGTAAAGTCGTAGTAGTTTATCGTATTTGGGCCGGATACCACGACTCTCTGGCGCTGTGGGCCTGTGGCGATCCAAGAAAGAAAAGAGATCGATTTCCTTCCTGTGTCCCTCCCTCTCCGCTGGCCGACGCCGCCCGCTGCACCCACCGCCGTCACCCAAGTTGCCGCCGGTGTCCGCACCTCGCCCCGCCCCGCCCCGCCCTAGATTGCGTTCGTGTGTGCTCTCTCGTCGCCGTTGCCCATTGCGCCGCCGCTGTCATTCCCACTCCAAGCGGGCCATTCCCCTGCTCGCCGCGCATGGCTGCCTTCCGAACGCCCCGCCCAGATCCCGGCAGCCTCGGCGCCCGCGCATGCCAAATCACGGGTCACAGCGGCACTAGCACCCCAGCGCGGCGGCCCCCGTCCGCGCTCCGGCAGCCCAGATCCGATCGGCCGCCAAGCCTGCCCGCGCGGGTCACATATGACATATCCTGGTGCTCCGTAAACAGGGGCTGGCGGAATGGATGCGAACCCAACCACCGTCCGTCCAGAGATGAGGCGACCGTCAGGAAGACTCCTCGTCCTCGCCATCCACTGCCTCGCGCTCTCCCACGCCACCGCCGCCGCCGCTGCTCAGCCTCACCCTCGCTCTGCTCCGTGCCCTTGCTGCACAGGTTGGCTCCACAAGCTGAGAACTGAGAGACAATCAGAACAGACGAGCGATGCTGCTTTGGCAGGAAAACCAACACGTATTGTCTAGATTAATCACCCAGGCCTACACTAACATTTACCTAAGTTTGTATTTATTTACCGATTAGATAAATCTTAGTGTATGATGTGTGCTTTGACTTCGTACCATTTGGTTGATCAAATTTTGCCTCTGTTGTGGACTTGTGGATTCATCTTAAGGATGTTCAGAACCTAGAACCTCAAATTTTAGGCGCTAATGACTTGACAGCGAGTGGATTCTTAAACATGTCCATATACAGAGTCCAGGTGTGCATACCTGCATCTCGTTTCCACCGGCGGGTGTGGGCGGTTTCAGATCGGGCGCAGCTTTATTGAATACCAGACATGTGTCCAGATCTTCTCTTTATTGTCTCAAATTCAGTAAATTAGCTAGTGATTGGAAATCGATTAATTTAACTGGTCATCGCAAATCTTAGGTTTGTATTGCACTACATGCTCAATTGGATATGAGCAACTCTTGGTGTATACTCCAAGATGGTTGACATTGGATCTGTTTTGTAATAGCTAAACCTTCGACTGTATCGAAAATAAGCCTTCTGGACTGCTGCCGCTGTTATGGGCAAGCTCTCAAGGTTTTGGTATCATGCTGCTCTCAGTGAGCTGTTTGAGTAGGAAGCATTTTATGCTTTTGAGTTTTTGCTAGCTAAATATGTATGTGAAAAGTAATTTGTACTGTTTGTGAATATTCTTGTTCAAGATTATTTTAAAGCTTTCGCTGCTGCATATGGAATTTCTACTTATGAATTTTTTTATTGCAGTACACGCCTTCTCTTCTGTATCGAAGCAAAAGAGACTTTAGACTAGTCAAAATCTAGGGGAACTATGGTGATCTCAATAAGGGAAGTGGATCCTGTCTTCAAAGGGGCAGGCCAAAAGGAGTATCCTTCAATTGCTAATTTGGTCACTGAATTACATAATAATTTTGACTTATTTTTCCTATATTGGTCTATGTCATATATTTTTATTTCTCATTACTGTTATGCGGTGCTGTTTTAAATTAATGATGTGTATTCAATAGGAAATTTGTAGTACACATAGGTCAGCTACACATTTGATGGCTGGAAGTCTTGAGAAAATATCACATTTAGTTAATACACTAGCGAGCATGATGCTGCAATTGGTATACAATTACATTGCTTTGTATAATATTTGTTAACTTATCCGTGGATAGTCATCCTTAACAACCCTTAGTGGACTGGAGATATGGCGAATCGAAAAGTTGCAGGCTGTTCCTGTTCCCAGGGAATCACATGGGAAATTTTTCACAGGAGATTCTTATATAATATTAAAGGTACTCTACCCTTTCTGTATTGTGTAGATGTGCCTAAGTTCTGTGATTAATTATGTAAGAGAAATTGGTCTAGAGATCTATATGTTTGTCAACAATGTAACTAATTTCATTCCTAAGATTGTATTTGATCTCAACCTCACTGAATATTGAATTATCCTGCCTCCTTTCTTACCATAATGAAGCAATCTTATACTGGATGCAGTTATTATTTTCTAACATGTTTGATTGTTTCACATCTTTTTTATGTGATGTAATAATGATGATGATAATATCGTCAGCGTATTGGAGATATGCCACCTCTTTAGGAATTAATTACTCTGTTTGTAATAGTAGTGAGAATGCAGTTGTTTGTATTGATTTGTCATATTGAGATTATTAATTACTTTATCATTGGAACAGACGTCCGCCCTCAAAAATGGTTCTTTTTGTCAAGAGATCCATTATTGGCTTGGGAAAGATACCAGTCAGGTTTGCTATTACATTTCAATCTCTCATGCTAGTTGCAGATATCCTAGTTAATGAAATGGCAAATTCACTTGTTTTAGTTTAATTAATAAATAGGATGAAGCTGGTATAGCTGCAATCAAGACTGTGGAACTGGATGCTGCTCTTGGTGGACGTGCTGTACAATACCGTGAAGTACAAGGAAATGAGACTGAAAGATTTCTTTCATACTTTAAACCTTGTATCATACCAGTGGAAGGTGGAGCTGCATCTGGTTTTAGGCAGGCTGTAGTCAATGAGCGGGAGTATGTGGCACGATTATTTGTCTGCAAAGGAAAACACACTGTCCAGGTTAAAGAGGTGAAAAAAAATCTGCTTCCCCTGTAAAAATTTCCTGCTTGTATTTTGTCACTGCCATTTTCTGTGATAGCTACCAAACTAACATGCCGTGTTGCTCTTCCCCATAACAGGTTCCTTTTGCACGGGCATCACTGAACCATGATGACATACTTATCTTGGATACTAAGTCAAAGATATTCCAATTCAATGGATTGAATTCGAGTATTCAAGAGAGGGCTAAAGCCCTGGAGGTTGTGCAATACCTCAAAGATGCCAACCATGAAGGAAAATGCGATGTGGCTGTGGTTGGTAAGTTCATGTTTGAACAAAAGGTCTAAATTGGACAAAGTCCTTTTTTCCAGAATTATAATTTACTCTTTCAACAGATGATGGAAAGTTGATGGCAGACGCTGATGCTGGTGAGTTTTGGGGTCTCTTTGCTGGATTTGCTCCTCTGCCAAAAAAGACATTTTCTGAGCTCGATGGAAAAGATAATGATTTCCCTTCAAAGCTGCTCAGGTAATATATTACAGGAAACATATCATAGGGGATTTCAATTCTTTCTACAGTAAATGCACTCCTAAATCTGTGGTTAGGTTGCATATCTGTTTTCCCCTACTAATCAATATCATTTTTCTTTATATTTTCAGTGTAAATGAGGGCCAAACATTTCCCTTGGATTGTGAAGATCTAACAAGAGAGCTGCTAGATTCAACAAAATGCTACTTTCTGGACTGTGGATCTGAACTTTATGTCTGGATGGGTAGAGAAACAGTACTTGAAGATAGGAAACAAGCAGGACTGGCCGCTGAGGTAACATCTTCTTGTTTCTGCTCTCTGGACTGAATAATTTTTATGGTTGGTGATAATTTAGCAGCTTAGATTAATGGAGTGGCATATATGATTGAGAGTTTCTGGTTCAAAGGCAGTTTAATTGGTTTCCACAACTTAACTATCGTTAGGGGGAAAAATCCTACAACAGGTGGATCCCAGAGATATTAAGTTAGACACGGCATGCATCACTATGGTGATGAACCATATAATTGCTTATGGAAACGTGGCCACCTAATGCTTTTGTTAGGCCCAGATTAATAATTTTATTTTTGCAGTGGCAAGTATTAACTTTTCCATGATGGTGCTCGTATTCTCACTTATGTAGGAGTTACTCCGTGAAGGAAATCGGCCAAGATCTCACATCATTCATCTCATGGAAGGATTTGAGACGGTTATATTCCGGTCGAAGTTCAGTAAATGGCCCAAGAAAGTTGAGACAGTTGTGTCAGTTGAAAGCAGAGGAAAAGTTGCAGGTTAGAATCGATATCATGGATTACTTTTTCTTATTAATCATGGATTATATATTTTTTATTTTTCTAACACTATTAAAATTATTGATATATAAATAATTTTTTGTAGCCCTTCTGAAGCGCCAAGGATTTAATGTTAGGGGTGTGGCAGAAGCTGCTCCTTTGAAGGAAGAGTCTCAAGCTCACATTGACTGCACAGGAAACTTACAGGTCAGTCCAATTTCCTTTCTTGCTAAATATTTGCAACAAGACCAATCACATACTTCGCAGTTATAGCTGCTGCATTATTGCTTGTTGAGCGGTGGTGAGAAAACACTTGTTGAACTGTTGTGGGAAAACACTTGTCAGGTTTGGCGTGTAAATGATTGTGAAAAGACGTTCCTTTCGTTCTACGAACAATGCAAGTTCTACAGTGGAGATTGCTATATCTTCCAATATAGCTACCGTGGTGGTGATGGCGAGAATTGTCTTATCGGTACTTGGTTTGGCCAGAAGAGTATTGAGGTAACTATTTAACATGTGCTATCTTTTGAGTGTAAGTTTCTGAGACAAAAGTAACGTATAAGATCATGAAAATGTACTAGATAGATTACTGGTTAATGGGAGTTAGTAAACTGCAAGTTCTCTTGCCTCCCCGGATTTGTTTCTCTCTGAGATTCATGACAGCAATCACTGCCTTCCTTTACAATTTGGATATTTTTTTCTTCATGCTGTACTAACATGTACTATATACAATATTTCAAGATGCCTTTGTGTTGTGGTAAGTGCGAATATATCGAGCATACCTTTTCTCTTATGGAGAAAAACATTGGATTAATTAGAATATGAGTGGGCCACATTTCTAGACATACTTGAAAGCTCTCAAGCTCGAGAATAATTAACTAATCATGTGTTTTTTTTGTGACGACAGGAGGAGAGGAGTGCAGCCACTTCCCTTGCTCATGCGATGGTTGATTCACTAAAATTCCAGGCAGTTCTGGTAAAATAATCAACTTTGTCTGTGGCTGAAAAAATCGTAAAATCATGCTTGATTATTTCAACCTAAAAAAGCTCTGGTTATCACAGGTTCGCCTTTATGAAGGAAAGGAGTCCATGGAGTTCTTTACTATATTTCAGAACTTGGTTATATTCAAGGTCTGCCTTTTACTAACTCTTCTGTTAAGCTTCACTGCCAAATGTATCATTTTACTCTGACAATATATGCACCCTTACATTGTGAAAAAATCTCAATAATGCAGGGTGGTGCTAGTACTGGATACAAAAAATATGTCTCAGAAAATGGCACTGAGGATGATACATATTCGGACAACGGTGTTGCACTTTTCCGGGTTCAAGGTTCAGGACCGGAAAATATGCAAGCGATTCAAGTTGACACGGTACATTCGGTTTCAGTCTATCTTCACTGGACATGGCATTGTGCTCATGATATTAAGTCCATTTTATCTTAGCTCCTATTTATGCCAGATGTTTTAAATTTGATATTGTACTTCTTACCAGGCAGCACCATCGCTGAACTCTTCTTATTGTTACATACTACATGATGGAGACACACTATTTACTTGGGTTGGGAACCTAAGCTCCTCAATGGACCACGGGCTTGCCGAGAGGCAGCTAGATGTGCTCAAGGTATGACTACGATCATGTCGTGCAAATGTGTTTGATCATTCAAATGAGCTGCTATGCTGCCACATCACGCTGACTGACTTAATATGATATTTAATTTATCTGTATGTGTTTCTATTTCCCAATCTTATCTAGTTTTCATTTTTATAAAATGTTATGGACACTTAGTCACTATAAGAACCTGAACCATGTTGTGGAGATGATTTACATTTTATTGCTTTCTGGTTAAAATTGACAATTCTGAACTTGCCACGACACTTCAGCCAAAAATAACCCCTTCCTGAAACTTTAGCCAAATCTGACCCTTTTAGGTCAGTGCTGGCCACCCTGGCATTGAGGCAGCACAACCCTAGCACTACTTAGCACCATCGTCAATGGTGCTGATGAGGTGCCCATCCTCGCTGGTGACTTGGACGGTTGACCCTATGTGTATAAGTTCAGTGCCAGCGAGCATTCCTTATCCTACCCGACCTAAACGCCACGGGCCCTGGCCCTGACCCTGATCCTTGCAACATGTAAATGCTCCGTGCAGCTGTGGGTGGGCCACCCTTCCACTAATGTAGTCCCCGAGGCACAGCCGAGAGAATATCCAGTGGAAACCAAGTTTTGGTGGAAACATGTGAAAATCAATTGGAAAATATCATTCTGATGTTTCAAAAGTTCTGTCAAATATACACTGTAACATGTTTCACAAACATTGTAACATTTCAAAATTAAATTAAATTTCACACGCGAGCTATGGAAAAACACAGCATCAATTTCAGTAATCTCCCGTTTTTATACGTTTCACTTTTTTGGTTGCTGAACTATGTTTTTTCATAGCTCCCAAGTGAAATTAAATTTGAAACTGCTTGTGGAACGCACCTCTCCAACACACTGTGTCCCAGTTCTTTTGGTCGATTCTTCCAGAATCTTGAACCCATATTTTTTGACAATCATAGCTATTTAGATCTTAACTTGCTAGGGTTGTCAAAAAGGTATGAGTTTAAGATTTGGGAGAATCTTAGGGGAGGTCCGATTCTCAAGATTCTGGGAGAATTGGGCAAAAGAACTGCGCCATGTATTCGTTCTGATGTTTCGAAACATTTGACCAACCATGGCACTGACCTACCCAACATCCTCGTCAGAGAACCTGGTGCCCTTTACGGCATGTGAACGCACCGGTGAGTAGTGCTACCGCAGCGGTTGGGTTGCTGGCACTGACCGGAAGGGTCAGATTTACCTAAACTTTCTGGGAGGTTTTTTTTTTGGCTGAAGTTTTGTGGCAAGATTATAATTAGAGCACATCTTCTATACCATAGTTTATTTAGCTGTAACACATCCAATTTCTGTGCACGACTGGCATCAAACATATATCATGTATGTCATAACACTGACCCTTTCCATTCTGCTCATCCACAGCCAAATCTCCAGTCAAGATTGCTCAAGGAAGGATCAGAATCTGATCAATTTTGGAAGTTACTTGGAAGCAAGTGTGAGTACCCAAGGCAGAAGATTGCGAGAGATCAAGAAAGTGACTCTCGTTTGTTCTCTTGTACCTTTTCAAAAGGTAAAAAAAGTTCATAACATTTCTCGTATCCGTTCATTTCTCTTAGACAGTTATCGACGTACTGTACTTACTCGTTTTCTCCTTTTGAATTAATATTTTCTGTGGCATACATTGGGGTAATGAAGGGGTGCTTAAGGTGAGCAATTCTAAAGTTTATACTTATTATTATGAAGATAAGAAAACATGATGAGAAATTAATGGTGGTCTGCTGATGTTGCAGGCTAGAGAGGTATTCAATTTTACACAAGATGATATGATGACAGAGGACATATATATTTTGGACTGTCATTCATGTCTCTTTATATGGGTTGGACAACATGTGGACACAAATATACGAGCACGTGCTTTGAGCATTGGAGAGGTATGTGAGAATATCATGGTTTCTCAGTGTATATAGAAAGTTTGTTTTAGTTTACGCTGGATTCACGAAGCTTCCATTTCCGCCAGAAATTTATTGAACTTGACATTCTAATGGAAAACTTGTCACAAGAAACGCCACTTTATGTTATCACTGAAGGAAGTGAGCCCCAATTTTTCACAAGGTTCTTCTTCACTTGGGACTCTGCAAAATCAGCTGTAAGCATTTTTCCTTGTGGGTTCATATGTTTTTTCTATCGTGTAAACTTCAGAAGCTAACCTCATGTGTTTTGTCTTATAAATGATTCAGATGCATGGTAACTCATTTGAACGGAGGCTGTCTATAGTGAAGAATGGAGTAAAACCAATAAGAGATGTAAGACTTCTGTAGCTTTTGATTTCCTTTTGAATCTCCTAAATTTTCTCTCTGTATATTTCTCCCAAGTTATTGCAGCACTCTTCATTGGAACATTAGTAATAGGAATGTTTGTATATTGGTGGTACTCATTAGTCATGACTAACTGAAATAACCTCGTGATGCCATTGGCTGATTGTCTATGTTTTTGCTAGTAGTATATTTTAAGCCAATACCACATAGATGCCAGGATAAAAATGCTACTACCATCAGACGTAAATTTTGAGCATTTGTTGAACACTGTATCATGTATGAACATATGAGATGCCCAAATGGCATTACCAGGTGGCATATGCATTCCTTCTCATAAAGCTGAACTTTTGGTTATGTAATTGGCAGAAGACTAAAAGAAGACCGGCATCATCATCACACACTGGAAGATGCATTGTACCTGATAAACCTCACAGGAGAACTACGTCTTCCAGTCCTGACCATGTAAGAGTTAGAGGAAGGTCGCCATCATTCACTGCATTGGCTGCCAACTTTGAGAACCCAAATGCCCGAAATCTGTCAACTCCACCTGTTGCTACAAAGCCGTCTCCAAGGACGACTCCAAGGACTTCCCCTGAACCTGTGAAGTCACACCAGAGGTCTGAATCAATCGCTGCAATCTCCGCTTTGTTCGAGCAGCCTAGGCGAAATCTGATACCGAAGTCAAGGAAAGGTATGCTAGCATTCTCGGCAAGGAATACATTTTACTACCTTGCAAACATCTTATCTGCTATGAACTTATCATTGTCCAAAGCAGGTCGTGCTGTAAACAAACACCAACCTGAAGCAAGCAAACCTGAACCAGAGGCAAATGCCAAGGAGACCACCCCTGCTGTGGAGGATGGGCAGACTGTAACTCCAGCGAAACAGGAAGATGCAAAGGAGGGTCAACCGGAAGGCGTGGAAGGGCTTCCTGAGTACCCTTATGATCGCCTGAGGACATCTTCCACCGATCCTGCCACAGCCATTGATCAAGCCAGGCGCGAGGTATCCTACTGTTCTCATGACGCCCATATCATCTACGCCTCCTCCATACCTGACAGTCTAATTAACACGGCTGCATTGGCACCTTGCAGATGTACCTGTCTTCGGCGGAGTTCAGGGAGAAATTCGGGATGACGAAGGAGGCTTTTGCCAAGCTGCCAAAGTGGAAGCAGACTAGGCTCAAGATCACGCTCCAGCTGTTCTAAAACCTTCTTCTGTGTGACAGGCTGTTGTATCTGCGTAGTGAATGAACGGCAGCGAGATGTTTCAAAGGTAAATCTCATTCGCCACAGGCACATCAGGATCTGCAAATGTTATATCTGCTTGCAATCAATCATTTCCCCTTTTGAAACCTGACATTTGCGGTGCTTTTTTAGGTGAACTAGCAGGTGTTCTGCTGATGCATGAATTGGAGATAGAAAGGAATAGTTACAGGCTTGTATCATTTTTTCGAGCTGGAGGGTGTCCTGAGGACAGTAGCGTTACAAATATATATATATATATATATATATATATATATATATATATATATATATATATATATATATATGATGTAAGTTAGGCAATGAATGAACCGGGCGAAGGAGCCCTTCTGTCAGAAAACTTGGGCGGTGGAAAAATGGTGTACCAAGAGTGTTATGTAAAACGTTGGCTGTTGTCTTATACTTCCAAGTTTGTTGTCTAAAGTGCTCATTCCCTGTGCAATTTTGTGATCGAACTTACAATCCCTATTCTTTCGGAAATGTCTGACCTAAATGTTTTAGACATGGGAAAACAAATGTTTTTCATGACAATTTATATTGGCGCGAGGATGACAAATTTAGTATACAAGCACGGCAATTTTCTGTCAAAAAAATGAGCTGAGGCAGATTTGTCATGCCCGTGAACTAAACTTGTCATCCTCGAAGACCACAAATTGCGATGAAAAACGTTTGATTTGCCATGCCTAAAAATCTGACGTTAGCTAGATATTCGGGTCCTTTTGATTGACCTCTTTCTAGGGGTTGTTAACTTATTGGCAACTCTATTTCTGAGGAGCAGCTGCTCAAATTTACTTCTCAGAAGGTTATCCTCCCTCTCACCTGCTCCCTCTCCTTCCCCTGTCTCCCTTCTCCGAATATTTCCTCCCTGTATCAGCTACTTCATTCAGATTCAGAGATATACTAGTGCTATCAGCGGCAACTTCCTGTGTTCCTTACAGTGACATTGTGTGATTCCTCAACAAAATACGCTCTACATCTCCAACTATGCTAAATGCAAAGTATATATTAAGCATATATTCCGCATGACAGAAATAGTCAATAGGAAATAAACAATTTCTTACAAAATTATTAACAATCTCACTCTCTCAAAAAACAAGAGAAAAATAATTGACAATATCAAGTGATGCTGGTGACACTATAATCTTAGCCCACAATATTCACATTTTCTACCCACTCCTCGAAGCAAATTGGCCTGTCTATACACATAACAATCAGCCGAAGGATCTTCATGCAAACGGAAGAGAAGTTCCTAACACCATGTCTTTTGCCTTAGTTGACTGAAACCAAATAAAGAGGGGTCACGCATTGCTGTCCAAAGGAAAATTCTATGGTGCTGCGCAAATTGCAAGCTATTATCCCATTCTCCCAGTTTATAGAAAGTACGATCCACACGAGCAACACAAGCTTGATGAGGCTGCCGCAGAGGATGCCGAGCCAAAGCCCCTATTGGTTCGGAGCCACAACAATTTCGTTCTTTCAGGCATATTCATGTAGTTTCCCGGCACAATGTTAAGTTCATTCTGACATAGTACGTACCATCCCGTTCAAATGCAGGACGAATGCAAGCAACACGGCCAAGGGGATGCCCGCCAAGTAGAACGCGGCGAGGTTGACACGTGCGCCGATCTTCTGCTCACCACATCCATAGAGCACACCTGTTTGTGATGTTCAGACAAAGATCATGTCACTATGTGTCTATGTTTGATATTGTTGTAAATCTGTGACAATGTGGGGAATTTCATCTATGTACCTGAAAGAGATGTGTGGATTCCATCTATGAAGAAAGATATGGCCAGGACAGGGATCATCCTGGCAATGTATGTGACGACTTCCTCCTCGTTGCTGTACATGTAACCCCAGGATTTGCGTAGCAAAATCATGGTGATGGAGATCACGGAGCCTGCAAGCAGGGCCATGCACACGACCACTCTGGTTGCTAGCCTCGCTGCCTGAGGCCTGCCGGCGCCGAGTTCGTTGGAAACGCGCGTGCTGTATTGCAAATGAAGGAAAAAGCAGAGACAGACACCCATCAGCATATACATATGCAGCACTAAGCATTTTTGTTTGAAAGTTTCACTGCACCTTACGGCTGCGCAGAGACCCAATGGCACCATGAACATGAGAGCGCCGGTATTAAGACTGCACAATTCAGTAATGCAATACTCAGAGAAGTAGGGGAAGGCAAAAAAATTGGTGAATTGTGGATTATAAAAAGGTCTCTTGGTTTGATCACCATATCGATAATACTGAGGTTTCAAGCTTAGGATTAGGCAGCAGGCCAGAGAGCAGCACAAGCAGCTCAAACGACCACCATTCCAAGCTGCACATTAAGAAGAATTAGGTATGCTAGCATCCAACGATTAAGAAGAATTATTGAGGGTTTTGTCTCACCAAACCATCATGGCCGAGGGGACGGCGAGCTCGGCGAACTGGCGAAGCTCCTTGAAGGCCTCCATGGAGAACCCAGTCCACGTCCTCTTGCAGGCGCCGGACAGCCTCGTGTACAGGGACAACATGGCCAGGTTCGTGGAGTAGGAGACGGCGGTGGCCAGCGCCGCGCCTTTGCTGCCCATGCCCGCCTTATACACCAGCGCCCAGCAAACAAGGATGTGGCTGAGCGAGGTGACGGCGGAGCTGACCATGACCGGCACGACGATGCTCTGCGTCTGCAAGAACCGGATGTGGCACACGAGGGGGACGTACGGGACGAGGGCCGGGATGAGCCACCGCGCGTAGGCGCCGGCCTCGGCGGCGATGGCCGGGTCCTGGACGAGGAGCAGGAGGATCCGGGCGGTGCTGGCCCAGACGAGGGCGACGGGGACGCAGGCGAGCGCCAGCACCAGCATCGCCCGCTGCTTGTAGACGCCGAGGAGGCCGTACCGCCGCGCGCCGAACGCCTGCCCGCACAGAGTGTCCAGCGCGCTCGCCATGCCCACCAGCAAGCTGAAGCCGGTCACGTTGGCGAGGGACGTGGCGAGCGAGGCGCCGGCGAGGGGCAGCTCGCCGAGGTGGCCCACGAACATCACCGACACCAGCTGCAGCGCGTACCGGAGGATGCCGCTCGCCACCAGCGGCCCGGCCAGCTGCAGCAGTCGCTTCGCCTCCGCCGCCGCCGCCGCATGCTCGTCCCGCTCCGCGGGTCCGAGCAGCGGCTGCTCGTCCACGCCCGACTTCTGCATGCTTGTCATCTTTACGGTTTACTGCCTTCAGCTGAGAGCTGGGTGCTGGAGTAATAAGATTGTGAGGAACAGAGGAAGCAGGGTACTGCAACAGAATCTGTGGAAGCTGCGTAGCAAATGTTACATTTGTAGTGATTTTCTACAGTCGCTGCCAAGCACTAGACGTTGGTGCGGTGATTGAGACTGCGAGTAAACCAAACAGAAACCTACTGTACAATGTGAAATATAACTTTCCCGCCAAAAACAATGATAACGTGGAATGCAACTTGGTAGCCACTTTGGTTTTGGGCCGCATTAACTAATTAAAGCAACTCATAGATTAACAGGGTGTGGTGGGTGTTCTTACTAGGATGTTTCCAAAAGCAAGCTCATGGTGTCATATAGTAGTATCATTTTTTTTGGCGGGCAAAGTTGTATCTTGTATTTCATATTCAGGATTGCTGACCACATGGTGTATGTGGTGAGCAATCTTAAAACAAATATTGTCGGTTGCTATTTGGGTTATTCGCGCTAACCAGATGGAGCGCACATCAGGTGTGTAGCACCAGGCAATTCCCATTGCAAGCCTCGATAGTCTACCAACCACGACCCATCAAATATCACGCACCATGAAGCCAAGGAGTCTTCTTCTTCAGTGGTAGGCCCTGTGTTGAGTAGGCAAAAAATTTCTGGAACCCTATGCAAGCTCTAAAATAAATAAGACCTACCTCCGAGTGGTAAATCTATAAATATGTGTCAACACACAAAAACAAATATTACCAATGACTCGTTATGCGGGAAGATCTGATTTCTACAACCCTCTGAATTGTCGGTGGTGGATTGTAAGTGTTGAATGGAGAACGGGATGTAATCAGACTAATGAACTTGTGTCATTCATTGATCATCAGATTGACATTTATACAAGGCTCCTTAGCTTCAAACTATAGTGTGTTGGATGCCTTGTGATCTTTGCTTTTGAGCTATAGAAATTGTTTTATCTAGCTCGGTGTTATGTCTGTTATCTTTGGTTTCTTGACTTTATCAATTTAAAGTCGGGCACTGCTATCGCTTAAAAAAGGCACACCACCTTTCCAATTCATCAACTAGAATCAAGTGGCTGCACGGAAAATCCATCATGCGAGGCACGGAGCATTAAATTAGAATAAACCAAACCTAATCGTATCTCCAAGCATTCGTTGTGTCTGGGTACTCTACCCCCAAATGTCTTCGGAGATCTCAATTCCAGTTGCTCAATAATTGATCATATCCATGCTTGCAGTTCGCATGTCTTTATGGTAGTAGTATTTAGTTAATTGCTTCTGGCTAGCTTGGTTATAGCTGTCAATGGCCCCTAGATAATTCTTTCCAACGTGCAGCTCGAGCGTAAGATACCCATTTGACTACTTCTGACACAGGAATTTTGACACGGAATGCATATACAGGTCCCATGTAATCCTACCCAAAAAATGGATTAAGCCACATAAGTTTCTTGCACACACAATTGCAACTTCACTTGATAGGACATTCGCAGGGGCATGTAATTGCGTGGGCACTCACTTGCCAAGCTCTGCCGTCCGCTCGATTTCCCTTGCGAAAGCGTGGTAACTTTGACCTCGGGGAAGGAAGTTGTCTGAAAACATATTCTCGATAACTTGTGTGTAAATAGTGTGGTAATATATGGACCACAAGCATGGTAATTCACGCACAAACACCACAGTAACTTTATTCTAAAGAAAGTTGTTGAAAACGTACCACATAACTCATGTATAAATAACATGATAATATACGCACATCCAAGCTGATAATTTACTTAGCCCATGCCTGGTATTTATTTGTAGAAAAAAAGTTGTCAGAATATATCAAAATCGTATCTAGTTTCGTAGGCCTCACAGAGATGGAGTTTTTATGTGAAAACAATTTTTTGATGGATTGACGGTTTGAGCTATAAAATATTTTAAAGCTTCAAAATATGAAGAATTTAGAATGACATCAACTTTTCCCCCTCTAATGCATGCACACATGTACATGTGAAGAGAAGATTGGAGGAACTATTTTTGTGCTCGGTAATTTATGTGTAAACAGCATAATAATTTATGCACAACCCACATGATAACTTGTGTAGCACGCGCGTGGTAACTTCTTACCTGAAGAAAAAGTCGTGGAAGCATACCAACATGGGATTTCGTTTCGATGATCTCGTCGCGATGAATTTTTTACATGGAAACGGATTTTCAATCAGAGCGATGATTTAAGCTACCAAACATTTTGAATTTTGATTTTTGAAAGAATCTTTGATGACATCAGCTCATCAAATTTGTCTTACATGCATGCACTTACTTTTGGAGGTACAAATACATGCATTGCTTTTCCTTGGACCACGGCAGCCACATTAAGAAAAAGGAAAGGAGGAGCTCACGAATCTGAAAATCGTTCGGATTTGTTGCTTATAAACATAAAGTTTGGTAGTTATCACACTCCTTACACATATTATAGGACTATACTTTTCAGTTTTCACCATCAGTAGAAGTTTTATGACTTAATGCAACACTTCTCTAAATCAGAAGATGTACTATATTTAAACTTTTAAACATTATTATATTGCAATATATTTTTGGGCTTGGCGTGCTTGTCAAAGTTCTAATCAATTCTCTTGGATTATGTTTGATTTTTTATGGAGAGAAAATACAACAGTTATAATAATGATTCTTATGTGATATAAATATAATAAACAAAAATTAAGAAAACTTAATGCCTTCTAAGTGTATGTACTTTCAATAAGAATTTCAATCAAAAAATAATAAATGGTGAAGATATTGCCCGCTAGCAGCCATCAAATCTGAATAATAATGTAGCTTAGCCGCGGTCTGGATTTAAATACATGTGCCATGTGAAGACACTAGCCAGCCACACACTTGCCAGCTGAATAGAAAAGGTACATTTTGTGGGTGAATAAAAATGTTCTACCTATAACTTACGCTAATATCACGTAGCTGTCATACTTGATGTGTTTCATCGCTTGCTCATCGGACAAGACACCATCTTACAACTACAGAAACTCCTACAAAATGAAGTCGTCTCGTCGTGCCGCCAATCAAGATTAGGCACATCACATTCCCAAGTCAACGAGAATCAAGTGGCTGGACATACATAAAATACATCATGTAAGGCACGGAGCATTAAACTATGATAAACCAAACATATAATCATACCTCCCAAGCGCTCGTTCTACCTCAGTATTCTATCCCCAATATCGTTGGAAATCTCAGTTCCTGTTTGCTCAATAATTGATGGTATCCATGCTCTTGCAGTTTAATCACACGGTTGTAGTATTATTTAGGCCAGTACTTCTCGCTAGCTTGGCTAAAGCTGTCTTCAACCCCTAAATAATCCTTCCCACGTGCTCGTCGAGCATAAGAAACTTATTTGACTATTTGGAACATTGAAATTTTGACACAACAGGATATATCCCACGTAATGTCATCATGACCTTTGTTTTTCGGGTTCCACTTCAGTACATCCCTCTTAATTGAATCAATGGTGAAGAAAAACATACCCTTCACATAAGAGGGTATAATCACTGTTGTCAACAAGTCCGTCAACTTTCCACCGTGTCTGATGTGCGTTCTGCTTGGTTGTCTCATAATGCTGCTCGATGTAGAGAACACATAACATGGAGACTAGATGATGCGCTGTGCGTTGCAACGGAATCAGTTGCAATATATTTCGAGAAATTTGATTGTATGAAAAATGAATATTCGAATTGATATTATATGAACTAAAAAAGTACATATTAGATATAGTATTTGATTTTGTATAGCTGAGTATTTGATTTTGTATAGCTCAAAATAATTATTAAATATAAGAATATAATGAAAACTTCTCAAATGCATGTAGTGCACCTTTGATGATGTGACATGTGTGGTGAGGTGGAATTTTTGCTTGGGGTCAATCAATAATATATTTTTCACATGCGGTTGCCCTTTCATGATATGACACGTGTGCATGTTAAGATATTAGAAATACACCTCATATAGAAATAGTGAGGATTAAGTAAATAGTATATAGGATTCACCAGGAAACTACATGCCTACCCATACATGTGCATCTGCATCTCTCGGTCAAGGTTGAGCACAAGGCTAAGTGGCGGTGTGGAAGCTAACACCATCGATGCAACCTCCAAAGAAACCATATCCGACAGTGGTGCAGGTGCCGAGGAGACGGCAACTGCAAGCAACAACAAGCACCAGAGCCCTCTTGCACTCAGGATCATGGTTTTCACTTTCAGTGAGATTTCAGCGAAATTCATTGAATTTCAGTAGACACTGAAATATTATGTTTCAGCCAAAATATTTCAGCAATTTCAGTACAACACAAGAATTCAAATATTTTTCAATATTTTTTTTCAAATTTTCAAATTTTCAATTGAATTCAAGTGAATATTTCGGTCATTCGGCTGAAATGCAAACTGAAATAACTGAAATTTAGTGAATTTCAGTGATTTTGATTGGTGAAATTTTGCTGAAACTGAAATTGAAAACCATGCGCGGGATACCTCAAGCTAGGGATGACATGTTTCTTAGCTATAAAACCTAAAAATAATAAAAAATATTTTTATGGCAAACAAACGAAAAACAATTTTGCTATGTCTCAGTCGACCTAGACTTCGTTATGTCTCAGTCAATAGTATCTTTCTTTGATTTTGCATGGAGATTCGTGCAAAAATGCTTTTCATTTTTTCTTTTTTCTTTTTACATACTATACCACTTTACTTAGACTTGGTGACCTAGCCACACCCAACGTATAAATGTTTTGAGCGCTTCGTAGAAGTTGTGGAAAAAAATCAATTCGCCAAGAAAAGATATTTTGAAATCATTTTGGAGTGCTGTCACACCCCATCCCGTGCACCGATCTTCATGATGATCCTGTCACGATCTTTGCTAGAATTATTTGCAGTCACATGCATGCCTGGTCGTACCATACTAAGAAGAGTCTTTGCCGTGGAAAGTTGGAAACCGTATTACCACATTAATTTGACAGAGAGTAACATCAGAAACATTACAGGTTCATCCACATCTTCTCTAAACTAAGTACTATTGTTTTAATCGAACGAATTAGTTAGTTATCACTTGAACTCGTCATTGTTGACCTCCTGCAGTTTCTTGTTCTTCCCCTGCTTCTTTGCCTCGTCCTCCTCTGTAACGACGCTGCCCTCCACCGTCTCCCCTCCTTGATAATCGGCGGCTGCGACGACGGGCGCCACCTTGAACTTGGCATAGATGTCACCCTTGTAGAAGTTTCTGGTCCTCCACACGAGCACGAGCGAGACGAGCGCGCCGGCGAGCGTGACCCCCGTGATGATGAGGAACGCGTGCTTGAAGCACATCACCCCCTTGCAGATCTTGTCGCCGACGGCGGCGGCGTGCCCGCCGTGCTGCCTGGCGGCCTCGGCGTCGTACATGCGGCCGGCGATGCGCACGTTGAGCACGTAGGCGCCGATGGGACTGGCCGCGGAGCCGAAGTTGAAGAGCGTGGAGTAGTACTTGAGGCCGAAGACCTCGGAGATGATGGAGAAGAGCAGCGGCCACTGCGCGCCGAAGCAGAAACCAAGTATCACCGACGCGGCGTAGAGGGACTGCGGCACGCCGAAGGCGATCAGGAGGTGGCCGACGCAGGAGAAGAGGAGCACGGCCGTGAGTGCCAGCGGCCGCGGGAACCTGTACCGGGCAACGAAGAACTCAGACATGTAGCCGGCGCCAACTCGGCCGGCGTAGTTCCAGATGCTGATGAGGGAGACGAAGGTGTTGATGCTCTTGTGCGGGTAGCCCAGCGACTGGCCGATCTGCGCCATGTTGTCGATGGCCGTGAGCGTGCCGCCGATGCCGAACACCGACACGACGAAGAGCACCAGCATCTCCACGCTCACCAGCGCCTGCATGATGGTGTAGTCCTCCCCCAGCGCCGGCGGCTTGAACATGTTGGTGAAGCAGCCCTTCATACCACACGACGGCTCGTCGTCCTCTTTCTTCGTGCTTGCTGCAGCTGGTTCCTCGACGGCGATGGCCGGCGGCTGCTGGAGAGACTCCTCGAGCTGGGAGACGGCGGCGTACTCCTCCTTGATGACGACGCCGAGGGGGAGGAAGAGGATGAGGAGGAGCACGGTGGCGCCGACGGCGTAGGCGGCGTGGGAGAAGCTGGGCACCTGCTTCTGCACCACGATCATGACGAGGAGGTAGGTGGCGAGCGCGATGGAGATGTAGAGGAAGCAGAAGAAGGGCTTGCTGTTGGGCTCATCGCCCTCGGCGCGTCGCCGGTAGGGCAGGACGCGAATGGTGTGGACGAAGAAGATGTAGACGGCGGCGGGGAGCCATGCGATGAGGAGGACGAGGGACTTGGCGTCGTCGCCGTAGATGGCGAGGTAGAGCTGCGTGTAGATGGCGCCGCTGAGGCCGACGAAGCCCTTGAGCAGGCCGATGACGATGCCGCGGCTCTCGGGGAAGTTCTTGACGCAGGCGACGAGCGCGCCGGTGTTGGAGAAGGTGAGCGCGTTGGCGCCGACGCACATGTAGATGCACATGAGCCAGACGGGCGGCGCCGCCGTGCGCTCAGTCAGCGCTAGGTACACCATGAGGTACCCCGCCAAATTCATGCCGGCGCCGATGAGGAGCACGGCCCAGGTGGGCGCCACCTGCTGCACCAGGCCGGAGACGACGCCGACGTTGGTGCCCAGGTCCTTGAAGAAGCCGAGCGTGTTGAGCGTCTGCTGGTTGTACCCCAGCACAGACCGGAGCTCCTTGGAGTAGAGCGCGAAGATGTAGGTCGACCCGGACGCCGCCATCACCACCATGGACGCGAACACCACGTACCACCGGCTGCGCAGCACCCGCCCCACGAACGCCGGGGTGCACATCACTGCCGCAGCCCCCTCGCCGCCGGCCATTTCTGAGAATTGGTGATAGAAAGATAGGTACAACACCAAGTGTGAGCTCTGCTACTTATAGCGACGTGACGACTAGTGTGTACCAGTTGACTAGTATTCTTGCCATGGCATGATGGTAAGCAGTTCATGGACCGAGAGAGACAGCTATGACCAATGGGGCAACCAAAAGATTTGGAGAAATGACAAGTACACCGCAAGGTGTAGCTGGTATAGTGGACTTTCGGTCAAGTTGCCGAGATTTGATTGGATGCTACTGCATCTGGTGTTCACCGGCAAGCTCAAGAGAGGGTATTTTACCATGTCCATATGGGCAGCATTGTGTGAGGATTAGTGGCGGCTAAGGTGTGTGGATGTGGACTAAATCCAGCACCGCCGGCACAGCATGGAGTTGACCAAAGACTATTTGGCCTATACCCCGTTGCTTTCAGTTGGCCAACTTTTTCTTCCGTCCCTCCCTGCGTTTTGGAATTAACCATGTGAAACGGCCTGCCTAAGACAAATTCAAGGTGACCAACATAAAATAAATGCTACTTTAGTTATGGTTGAAATTTGACATTGACTACTAAAGTGTCAGTGCGATTAACTGTAGCAGATCCAAAATAGGCTAGTAATACATGTTCACAAACTTGAAGAAAACATCACCCTCGTTTTTGGTATATATACCTCTAAAAGTATGTTAGATTTCACTGAAAATTTATTCATCTTATTTCATTTGCATGAGGTGGATGGGGGACTAAGGGGTTTTCTGCAAAGTGTGAATCTAAGTGGTGGGGTCTTTGTGCAAAAGTAGCAGAGCTTACCTTGCGTTCGCTTGATGCAGATCGAATGAAAAATAAATAATGGATGACAAACAAACCACCATCATCAAGAACGAGGTCTCTTATAGGAGTAGAGATTGGAGTATCTAAAATAAGATATTATTAGCTGACAAATAACAACCTTGTGTGTTGGTGGTATGATCATTTCCTGTTAAAGAAATAACTTCCCCAGCTTGTCATCGTCAAAAATCCGATATGATAAATCACCAAGGACTAACATGAGCCATTGAAGATGCTATTAACCAACACTTGCTATATAACACGACATAAAATGCAGTTTTTTTTTGCGGGAACGAACTTATATATGAGGTTGGATAATCAATTTTTCTATGATATTACTTTGTACCAATATATTCTGTCGTCTGAAAATGTATGTGCTCTAAATAATTAAAGGAGTATCTTACGCTCGAGGTGCACGTGGGAAGGATTATTAAGGGGGCATAGACAGCTCTAGCACGGCTAGCTAGAAGAAATGAACTAAATAATATAAGAGTGTGAACTGCAAGCATGGATAGTCAGTTATTGAGCAAACTGGAGTTGAGATGTCCAACGATATTGTGGAATATAGTATTGGGACAGATGGAATGCTTGGAGATACGGCTAGGGTTGGTTTAACATAGTTTAATGCTCGTGCCCCGCATGATGAGGTGATTCCATGGATTTTTCGTCCTGCCACTTGATTCTAGTTGACTTGCTGGGAAGGTGGTGTGCCTGATCTTGATTGCTTATAGCACATGATGTGTATATCACGCAGCTGCTGTCCAATGGACACAAATATGATGGGCTGTAGAGTAGGACAGCTAGCTAGATATGCTACATAGATAAATCAGTTAGATATACAAGTGTGTGCTGTGTAGAACGATTCTACTGTAGCAAAAATGTATTCATTCTATATATGTTGGTGGTATGAGCAATTGTTTGATAGCGTTTTTATCTTCTTTTTCTGCGGTTAGCTAGTTATTTCACATGGCAAAATAATTCAAATTCATACGGCGTCTAAGCGTACATTATGATATGATCCAGATTAGATGGCTGCTAGCAGGTATTTTCTTAGCTCTAGCTAGTTTAAGATCCTATATGATCACACCCTGAAGAAAAGATGATCCATGATCAATGTGAGCTGTAAGATCCAACAATTCATCGCGAGCTTAGCCGTAATTAGCTTAGACCGTGTCATGCTGGACAGCTAAAAGATAGGTTTATACTCTCTTTTCTGCGAAAACATATATTTACACTAACAAGAACAGTGGCGCTATATAGTAGTATATATATTATATTTAGGATTATTTAGCCCAATTCTATTTATTCATAAAATAAAACGTATTAATTCTATTTGGCCAGGCAACTGTGGGGTTTGCATTTTTTTCTCTCTTGGTGCGCCTGGTAGTTACTTGGCATGTCCAAACCATTTAAATTCAAGTGAGGGCTAACATACATTATGATTCAGATTAGAGGGCTGCTAAGACTAGCCAGAATGGAGAGTAACATACACTAGTAATATACACATATCCCTAAACTATGTTACTACCTTTATAGTGGGTAGTGAAGTGTGGTGTCATGCAAAGCTTCATTTATTAGGTTATAGACTCATATTGCATTAGGACATGTGATATTACAGTAACTAACCAAGTTACTCAAACTACCTCTCTCCTCATTAACTCATTGCCACATAAGCAAATTTGCTAAGTTGGACTCGATGTTATTGCTGAAGTTACTCCAACTGTGGCTAGTCTAACAGGTTTATTCTTTAGCTCTGGCTAGTTAAGGTCCTCGACGAACACCCTAAATAAATGATCCACGATAATCACTGTGAGCTGTGAGATCCAGCATTTGATCGTGGCCTTCTTCCAAAAAAATCAGGAATGTCCTGAAACCAGTGATCATGCCAATGTTTCATGAATTTTATATTGGGACTTTTGACATGTCTTCAATACATTTTGGTGTTATTATCCTGATCCCCAAAGTTGTTGGGGCTACGGACATTAGACACTTCAAACCTATCAGGGTGATCAATGTTACTTCAACGCATCTTCTTCAAAGTCCGCGCGACACGACTAGCCCATGTAGCTGAGGGGCTGGATCACCCCCTTCAAACGGCATTTCTGAAGGGACGACAGATCCATGACAGTATCCTGGCCCTTCACGAGATTATTGATGAGGTTAGGACACGTGGACATAAGGGTGTTTTCCTCAAGTTGGACTTTCAGAAGGCCTATGATTGTCTGGACTGGTCCTTCTTTCTGTTAGTCCTTCAGCGTCGGGGCTTTGAAGAAAGACAGTGTTCTTGGATCATGTCGTTGGTTCGGTCTGGTAAAATAGTGATTAATATTAATGGAGAGGTGGGTCCATTCTTTATGTCCTCTACGGGAGTTAAGCAAGGGGATCTAATTTCCCCACTTCTCTTTAACCTCGTTTGATGCTTTAGCAGGCATCCTGGATAAAGCTAGGATGGCAGGTCATCTCTCGGGGGTAGTTGGGCACTTGATCCCTGGTGGAGGGGTCACTCACTTACAATATGTCGATGACACCATGATTATGGTGAAGGGGTCAGACCTAGAGATCATGAATCTTAAGCTCCTGCTCCTCTTCTTTGAGGCTATGTCGGAACTAAAGATTAACTTTGATAAGAGTGAGGTCGTCGTCCTAGGATTTTTAGCGGAGGAACAACAACGGATTGCGGACAACCTAAACTACAGACTGGCCTCATTCCCCATTACATACTTGGGAATGTCGATGGCCGACTCAAAAATCCCAATGAGTGCTTTCAACCCGCTCATGGGACGAGTGGCATCTTCGGCCGAGCCGTGGCGTGGGCGGTTTATCTCCAAGGAGAACAAATCGGTCCTTTCTATCTAGAACGATTCTAGCAAAAATGTATTCCCTTCTATTGAGCTGAGCAATTGTGGATCCGACGTTTTTATCTTCTTGTTGTGCGGTTGGCTACTTATTTCACATGGCAAAATAATTCAAATTCATGCGACGGCTAAGCATGCATTATGATATGATCCCTATTAGAGCATCTCCAACGGGCGCGCTAGATTAGCCGCACGCTGTAAGAAACAAATATATTGCGCGCAGAACCGAATCTGGCACTCTAGCAGCCACACTAAAATCGCGCGCGCGGTAAAGTTGGTTCAGCGCGTTGGGGAAAATGGCATCGTGCGCTGCTTATTTCGGGAGCCAGCTCCCGCGTGCTCGATAGCGAAGATTTACGCGCGAGCAACCAACTGCTGCCCTGACCTCTCCGGCTGGTCCGCGCCGACGTCGGCGAAATTGCACCGATGGAAGGCCGCGCCGACATCCCCCCGACCCCCCCCCCACACTCGCGACCCCTCCGCCATTGTCGCGAACCCTAGCGCGGGGTTGACCTTCGGCTTCGCCGCCGGCGCCCCTCCTCCTCAAAGCACCGGTCTCGTGCGCAGCCTTTTCATGGCGCCCTGGACGACCTTGTAGGGTAGCGTCTCGCCACCACCCACCTTGAAGCCACGGGGCTCCGGCTCGAGC